ATATCATCCTATAAATTTTAATATTTCATTACATGCACCCATATGTATTCTATGGGTGGTATGCATGTAAAATTAAAATTTTAGATGTTAGATATGTAAATAACAAGAAATAAACGGTATGTATATAGATCCCCTAAATATTTTATCTTCACTATTGTGAAAACTACAACATAAAATAATCTATAAATAGATAGAATTTAATTATTATAAATAAATGTCGAATTTACATGCACCTCATAAATAAATTTCTTTTATATATTTATATTTATTTAATACCTAAGTTTTTATATTTATTTATATGATAATTAAATCTTTAAATCACATAAAAAAATATAATAATTCATTTTTTTAAGTGATATAATTTTATTCCTTAGTTTTGATGATGTAATTAAAATATATAAATATATATAAACAAGAAATATCAGAAATATAAAAAATATAATTATTTTATGATTTGTATCTAAAACTAAAAGTCTTCTAAAAATTTTGGAAATTCAAATTTTTCTGGAAGCGTTTTCACTGGAGAAATAGTTTTTCTGGAAGTGCAAGTCTTCTATGGAACTGCTCTTGAAAGCTTCAACGCGCGTAGTTGTTAGAAGGGCCTCCAATGCGATATTCTTTTCAACCAGGACAGTCTCCCGCGGAAAGCACCGCCGGCCACAAGTTAGGGTGCCGCCGCCTCCGCCGCCTCCGCCGCCTTCTCCTCCTCTGCTCTTACTTGCGCTGTGATATGGAGTGCAGAGAAGATCTCAAGTCGATCCTCCCATTCCTTCCCTTCATCCTCCGCTCCTCCTCTCTCTTCTGGCCGTCGAAAGCTCTCGATTCCCTTAAAGCCCTTGCCCTCGGTCCTGATCTCAGTCATGTCAACTCCGGTGAGATTCTTTTTGACGCTATTATCGATATTAGAGACTCCCTTGGCCTCTCCCACGAGCGATTGGCTCCCAACGCCGTTGATGGCTACTCTCTTTTCTTCGACGAGGTATCTTAGCCCTCACTTTCATCCCCCTTATGTTCTAAACCTCATGCTTGACAGTTATGTTTATTCGGGTAGTTGATGTCGAGGGCGGACTCGAGGTTCTGGTTCAGTGAGGTCGTGCCGAAGCTGGCGAGTCTGTTGCTGCGACTGCCGTCTCTTCTGGAAGCGCATTATCGGGAATCTGATGTGAATTTCGGAAAAGGGAAGGCAGGACTTCGTTTGATGGATCAGCAGGATGCAGGGATTGTATTCCTTAGTCAGGTGTGCTTTATTGACAGTTGTTGGTTTGCGAAGATTCTCGTCTCAGCTTAGCGGAGTTCCGCTGCTGGTGAATATTGTTGATGAACTAGAAAAATGACATGCATGCTTAAATGATTCCCTTATTTTTTATTCTGGTTGATTTGATTTGCTTTCTTGTTATATTCCAGGAGTTAGTGGCTGCTCTTCTTGCTTGTGCACTATTTTGCCTATTTCCTACTAGTAACAGGACCAGGAAATTTCTTCCAACCATCAATTTTGATCATCTGTTTGCGTGAGTGTCTCAAGGAATTGCTTTTGAAACTCTTTAATTTACTCCGCTATAATCTGTTCCGTTCAATATATTTGTGCAACATAGGGACGTTGGAACATAATCTCTCATGCTCTTAAAAAAAATCTATAAAAAAAAAACTTCTTTCAATCTATCTATTATGATTTGCGATATTAAACTGCGCTTGATGCATATTCATTGCATTAAAATTATGAACCATTGATTCTATCTCAATCCTACTTAAAATATTTTTCTCAATATATGCTATCAACAAACTTTCTAGTAAATTATCTTCCATCTTATTTGTAACTTAATAATGACAATTTTATTCATAAAAAAGTGCATGTAATTTTTGAAGTTCACACATGTAGAGTTAAGATCAACCAACTCAATCTATAAACAGAATTGATATATCTACAAAAAATTGCACGATTTGGCACAAATCTTGTGACAAAATTGAAATAGGAAACTTTTGAAATTAAATTCAAAATAATTTTGAACTCCAATTTTAGCAAGCTCATTGTCAAATTGAAAGTCTCAACGAGACGAACCTAACGATATCAAAAGTGATCCAATCCGTGCCTAAAAGACCCCAAATCAATCACTCAAAGCATAATTGAAAACTTTAAACATTAATTGGATGACCAAATGATCTCTAAATTAGACATGCTTATAATCGAATCGAGTGGCTCAATGAAACGAATCCATCTACCCCAAGATCACTCAATTTTGATATCATTAAGACACTTAGATGTTGAATAATCATTAGTATGTAAGAATGTTTCTTGAAACAAAGATCTGAATGCATAATCATGGACTCATGGTAAGAAATCATGAATATGACCAATGCAGAAGATCGAGAAATTGGAAAACTCCATGTTTGCAATCAGCTAGTTGTAAAATTAAAATGGAATTATTCGCCACATTCTGAGTTTTTCTCTCGGATATCAAATGTAGAAATTTAGCTTCTCATCACGTCCATTTGTGAAAATCTACTTTCTAGTTTGTTTTATGGGGTGAGTGGTTTGATCAACTTAAATTTTCACAGGGTTTGTCACTACCTATAAATTCAGTTTATTAGCGAAAATGAAAATTCTTGCCTTGCTCAATTAACATAGGCTGTAGCTCCTATATGCACACAGTGCTGACACATAAAAGGAGGTAGGGTTTCTCAAGACCATCCCTTTTCCTATTTGGTCAGTATTCCGCTATTGCTTGACTCAACCTTCATAAAATCCTTGGCTGATAGTTGCTTTGTAAGATATACCACATCATTTATGATTAATAGCTAGTATTGCTATTATTTTGGTGCATTAAGATTGGAGTGATAAACGTCCACATTTCCATTTCTTTGGGCCATTCTGTCTACGAATTTAAAATCAGTCTGTTATAACTAGATTTAACAATCATCAAACTCTTCATAGGAAGTTGATTTAATTTCTTGATTTATGGCTGCCTCTCACATGATAGCTGTTGTTCATGCTGAGGCATTTAAACGTCATTGGTTAAACATTTGGTTTGCTATTTTCCAGATCTGTTCATCCTCATTGCAACCAAAGTCAAGAATACAAGATCAAGTGCCTTATTCACTATTTTGAGAGGATATGTCAAAGCATGCCCAAAGGCCTTGTCTCTTTTGAACGGAAACTTCTTACTCTCAGCCAGGGTGGCAATGTTGTTTCCTATCCAGATGCAGCCTTTTGGAAGGAATCTACAATTCCTTTGTGTTCATTTGAGGTGAAATTTGAAGTTTGTGTTGCAGGAATGGACCAGTTAGCTTTCATTAGTCTTTCATGTCATTGTGAAAATGTGCCTTCTCAATTGCGTCGGAATAAAGAAGATTTTTCTGAAGTTAACTTTGCTAATTTTTGGGCTTTTTTTCACATTTATTGCATGGAAGGGTTTATGTTCTCGAGATGTTCATTTATAAGCTCCTTTATTGCTTCTATATCTTCTAATGTCAACTTACCTTTGTTCTTATATAATTTTTTTCATGATGAACATCTTTTATGATATTATTGGAACTAATGAGATTATTTCACCATTTCATGTTGCACTTAGTTTTTAATTTTATTTGGTCTTTTGTAACAGTTGACTTAAAAAGCATCTTTTGCTCATAGGCTTTTACCTCAGGCTCTATAGAAGACCAGCAACATGAAGCTCTTGAAGTTGATTTTGCCAATGAATACTTAGGTGGTGGTGCTCTTCACTTGGGTTGCGTCCAGGTTTTCCCTTCTTAACATTTTGAATAGGGATTGCCTTGTTGTTTGTTATTTATACTATTCCTTTTTCTAGCCACTTCAAAAGAAGCGTACTGGTAACTTAGCTTTTATTAATTTGAGTACGCATCCCAGAACATAAACTATGTATTTCTTCGTTACATCATACGCCAAATATCTTTCCGACTAACTTAATGGAATCTACAACTTGCAATTTGGTGAGTACATGACTGCAGTATAAGAAAAATGGGAAATGTTGTGTTTTTAAGCTGTTCAGGGTGATGCACCCTTCATGCAATAGCTCCCTAAAGCTACTATGACTGATCTCTTATTTACAGAACCATCTGATCCAGAGGTTGGATGGGGTAATGCAGGGATGCATGTGAAATTAGATTAGGCCACATGTTCATTGTTTAACTATTTGAAAGGTACATTTTGTAATAGTGACAGCCACTCCTATCAACAAAATGGAACAGCCACCACCACCACAATCATCTCAAATCTAAGCTGCTTGATCCTAACTGACAAAATTAATATCTACCCTAGACTTGTGAAGACACATCATTTTTTCTTCACAAATACAGAATATGTCCTTGTTCCTCTATATATACATATAGTACTACAGAAATATAATGTCTGGTTAAGTTTTCTACTGTTTCAGCCAATATTTATTTCCTGTTAACTCTTCTGAACATATTTCTTTAGCTGCTACATGTATCTTCATCATGTTATCAAAGCTTATTCCTCCCAGTTCTTGAGCTGCTACCTCACTACAACAGCTCATCTTCTCAAAATGGACCAATCTTCTTCCTCTCACCTTGGTGACGGTGCTTCCTCACAGTCCTATTCGGAACCATATATTCCTTGTTTTCTGACATTTGTCATCTCTATTATCAAATCCTTTGTTCCTACACAACTCTCAAATGATAACTACTCCATGTAGAAATCCCAAGTACTAAATTTTTTAGAGCCAATGAATTTTTTGGCTTCCTTGATGGCACCATTGACATACTACCCAAACTTCTTATCACAACTGATAATTCCTCCAATCCCAATCCTACCTTCAATCATTTGCTTCTTACAGATTAGAATCCACTCTCACTACTGGTATCCTTCCATGTGTTACACATTAATTCTTTCTTTGAAATCCGATCTATCTAAGAACACCGGCTTTAGACAACCAATCAATGCCGTGTTATTCAGCTAAAAAACTAGATCCATAATCCTCCATGAAAAATTCCACCATGATCCAATATCAACAGTAGAATACTAGAATTCCAACTCATAGGGATAACTTTGCCAAAAATAAAAATTTACTAACTGGGTTGAAAATTGCCAGGCTCAACCCAAGTTCAAGTTTAAGGGTGAGAAGCCTGCTCCTTATAGGCAAATCGAATCCCCCATACAAAAAGCTTATAAGAGAGTCCAGGCCTCTAGAAAGTAGGATATGCCATGCTTGGTGAGATCACCTCATTATTTTAGTCGAGTCCTCTCTCTCTCTCTCTCTATGGTGAAAGTTGAGGCCCTCCAAGGTGTCAATGAGTTAGGAGAGGTAAAATATAGCTTTGGAAGGCGACTCTTCCCATTGTGACAAGATATACATTAAGTAGCACATGAGTCCTTTCCAACTGACAATTCTAGATAGTCATCACCGTGAAGTCTTAAGTATGGCGAAAAGCAAGGTCCATCATGGCAGGTCATAAATTCTAGCCGAGTTAAAAGTTAGAATATTTTGAAGAATATCAGTTAACAAATGAGCACTAGTTTATTCATTCAAAACTAAAAACAAATAAAATTATATGCATTGCCACAAAATGAAAAAAATGCGAGTAAAAAAATTTCCTTTCATTCATTTTAAATAAAATTACATTTGTTTGCTAATAGGTAAGTAAAATAAAAAACAAGAAAGAACAAGAAGCGAAAAATACAAAAAGGCGACTTTAACTATTTGTTATGCTTGCCTCATCACTCTTCCCCTCTGAGGATTCTAACATCAAGTTGTGGTAGTTTTTTTCTTTAAAGTTGGTGTTGAGTCCTCTGAGGCAACTAAATAATGCAGTGTTTGGTGTTGTGCAGTGTCAAAGAAAGCTACACATCACTTCTCCTTCAAACCAAATTCTCTAGCATGTCAGGCGTGTTTATCATAAATCCTCTCCAACTGTTAAACCTCATTTAGAGCGGCATCTTTCTTTGGAATCTCCTCCATCTTTCTTTGGAATCTCCTCCTATAGAGTAGCCTCCCTCTTCACTAACTTTGCATTCAAGGACTCAACCTCCTTCTAGGTTGTCCATTGGTGGGTGAACTCTTCTTGATGACAAGCCTTCACCTTCCGATTATCTTCTTCCAAACTAGCTATTGCTTGACAGACTTTCAACAATGTGAGCTAATGTCGATGTGCAATGCTAGTTTAGCAACCCATGGAGGTGAAGCAAAGCTCGGCAATGAGGATTGCATCAAACTCGTTCCGTAAAGTGGCTAAGTGAACTTTAACACCCCAGCCCCACACACAACAAAAAAAGTGATTTTGTATGTCTTCATGGAGGGATCGATAATGGTTTTTGCAAACTCAGCCTTGGAGCCCTCAATAATCTTTTATGTCGCCACCACTTCCTCTTCTTCTTCGGCTTCTCCTCTGAAGGTGGAATGATGCCCTTCCCTTTATCATTTGGGGGCTTTAACACAAGCGCTGATGGCCCTCTTATTCACGAAATCCTTATCAATAGTTATTCCTCGGCTCAGAGTTCCTCACCCTATGGCATTGGTCGACCTAGGTGGGGCTATTCTTACACGTCACTCGAAGTGGGTTCACCGAAGCCTTCTTGAGCCTCAATTGATTATTGACTAATTGACGATTGAGGGGCAATTTGAAGAGGGATTGCTAGCATAGGTGGGTGAGTGGGAGCCGCCAACTAGCGAATGACTAACATTGCCTCCTTGCCTTCCTCTTCCCCTCTCTCTCATGAACAAGGAAGTTAAGGCTTAGGAATTCAAGGACCTCAGGAAAAGTATGCTTGTTGTACCCTTCTAAAAATGAATTCACGATCAACATTTTCATACAACAACAACAACAACAACATCAAGCCTTTATCCCACTACGTGGGGTCGGCTACATGAATCCTTTTTCTCCATTGGGTCCTATTAAAAGTCAAATTCTCATTTAGATCTAATAAAGAGGTCATTTCTAATATTTTCTAACCAAGTCTTTTTAGGTCTACCCCTACCTTTCTTAACATAAGTCAAATCTAATACCTCTACTCTCCTAACCGGGTCATCGGAAGGTCGCCGTTTTATGTGACCAAACCATTTAAGGCGACTCTCTAATCTTATCTTCTACTGGAGCTACTCCAACCTTTTCACGTATATGCTCATTTCGTATCCTATCTCTAAGGGTAAAGCCACTCATCCACCTGAGCATCCTCATCTGTGCCACACTTAACTTAGTATTATGCTTATCTTTTAATGGCCAACATTCGGCACCATAAAGCATTGCAGGCCTCACTACCATCTTATAGAATTTTCCTTTAAGTTTGAGGGGTACATTTCTATCACATAACAAGCCCGATGCATTCCTCCACTTCAACCATCCAACTTGAATTCTGCTGATAATATCCCAATCTATTTCACCATCACTCTGAACAATAGATCCAAAGATGATATCATCCACATAAATTTGAACAATGAGTATTTTCTTTCCAAATTTCTTTAAGAAGAGAGTTGTATCCACACTTCCTTTTTCAAAAGATCTTTCAAGTAGGAAAGTGCTCAATCTCTCATACCAAGCCCTAGGTGCCTGTTTCAATCCATATAATGCCTTTTTTAACTTAAAAATATGATTTGGGTATTT